ATTTAACTTTTTATAAAGAAGTTTAGAAGTAATGCTAAATTGGGCAATTATTGTTAATTTTATTGTTTTCTTTCCTTTCTTACAACTAAGTGATTTTTAACGAATGTCAATGTATGACATCATATTTTGTGTGATTTTAACTTGACAAAAATACTGCTTGCTCTCTAAACTCCATTATCATCTCAAGTTCTAGTTATTAAAGAATCCAGACCCATCAGCTTTAATATTTTAGTTAGACTTAATTTTCGGTTGACAAAATACTTGTCACTTCAATAACCCAAGCAGTAATCAAACATGATATAACACCAAGAAATTAGTCCTTTCACAACTGTAGGAAAGTCATTTGAAGAGTATTTTTTTTTAACGGTTATGTTTTTGTTTAGCATGAAGGCAAAATTTATAAAAAATCTATCATTTTTCCAAATTCAAGAAATAGTTTCTTACATTTGAAAAAAAAAAAACACTTTTAGTAATTAAAAATACTGGTATGCTCAAGAGACACCAAGAAGTAGACAAAAAACTAGTGGCTAGTCTACACGATACGCCGATTTTGTTATGCAAAGTAATCATTTTATGATTGAATGACACGAATTTGATCAATATTAGGCATCTGAGAAGAGACGTGTGGTGACGGGGTGGGGATGCGGGATCCTCACGAAAATACCTAGTAAAGAAGGGAGGCCACTTTCTATTTACATGGCCTGGATGAGATGGCTTAAAGGAATTTGGATCTTTCCAACATATCCCCCCCCTCCCTCTACAAGAATAATGAACGGTCCCTAAAAAGATGTTATCTTACCCTCCAACTTCAGCAGGATGTTTATGAAGCATCTTCCAGTAATTGGGGAATTACCTGCCTACCATTCTGAGTTGTTGGACTCAAATTCAGTTTGAGTTACTATTGATAAACAAGCGAAAGGGGTTATTGTGAAGAACAGCTCCAGCCTCACAGTTGATTAATAGTTCACCATATGGTCAACATCAGGTTACCAGTCTGCGACATACCCGTGAACTACTAACGTCCAAAACAACATATTCTGGTGACGCATTCTTACTTTGAAGTACACCGACAGATTAACACCTGTCCACACACCTTTCTGTTGGGGAACAGGTGTGCTTATAATCGTCAGACCACGCTTTTCAGGGCGTTATTCATAGAGATTACCTGGAAAGGAATATTACATTCCTCAACTATTTCATTCCGTAATGAAAACGCTGTATATGGAATAAAGGTCCTTTCACTATGAGCAAGTTTTTATTGGGTGTACAAAGTAATCTGGGATTGGAACGTCGGCAAGAAGGAAACAAACGCAAGCATAAGAAGGAAGTTATCTCTCCAAACCTGTCTTAATAATAGCGTCGAGTCATAACACACAACACATCACGTAGCCTCTCTCCTCTCGGTCGAACATACCTGACTGTTTTTTAATCACGCAACGCGTGACCAAGTTAACTTATCATCGACCAACACAGACTACATTGAAGTCTTCATCTTTATTGACTCACATTTCACAATGACAATATAAAGTCGGTTTTACGACCAGAATTACACTCTCTTGGCCTTCGACTGCTAACAGTTACAAACCCTATGATTTACTTAGCTATGGAGTGACTACAGCCACAAGCTGGAAGAATTGCACTGGAACTGTCCAACGAGCGCAGGTTACACCGAAAAAATGGTGCAGCCAGATTGAAATTAAAATTTTCCGTAACAAAATTGGAATCAAGTTTTTGAAGCGAAATAAGCTTAAGAGTTAAAATTATTTTTGAAAGAGGAGCATTTTCTTACAACTGTCTTTTATAGCATGACATAGTGCAGACAGCGAAAACTTCTCCCCACCGCTTGAAATTAACTGCATTCGTTGATTTCTGTTTCCTTTGAAAAATAGATATAATTTTATATGTATTGTGCATTGATTAAAGAAATAACGATGAATTTCAATGCAAAGTTAGAGTAAAACAGCCCAGTCCAACACTCCAGCTGGCTTGCCGCAAGCAGTTAAATCTTTTTTACACTTAAGCATCATGATACGTCAACACGATATGTCAATATTATTCACAATTACAGGAGCGACAAGCGCAGATACAAAGAAAAGTAAAGAGAAAAATGATACCAACACGTGCGCATTTTAGTACCCAGGAATATTTTTCGTAGTTTTCTTTTATAGACTTTTGTTTTAAAGTTTCATTCATATTGGCTTGGGGGGTAAAATTATTCAAGTAAAACCAAACACATAAATCATGACTTCTCTTTTATCCTATAGACTATTCCGCAACAATTTCTTTTTTTACACAGGTGATTCTGTTACAATGCGCAACTTTTGTGGCAAAAATCTATGCATTCTTTTGCGATCAAAGGTGGCCCCATGAGCCCCTCCCATGAGATGTAAGCAAAGTGTCACAAATCTGTTTCTTAAAGTGTAGGATCTAAAATACAATGACTTTAGTGGAGGGAGCAATGACAACATCGACAAGTGCACCTTTAAACTTGTGCACTGTCCAATAAGAACCACAACTTATATCACAATGTATAAAATATAACCACTAAAACTTTGCTCTCAGAGATAGGGAGAATAAGGAAGAAGGAAGAGGAGCTTAGTTCCAGATCTTCAAGAAACTGTCCCAACTACCGGTAGCAACAGCCATGCCATCATCAGTTACACCCAGACAACTGACACGGTTGTCATGCCCAGCAAGAACGCCTGCCCGCTCTCCTTTCAATGTGTCCCATACGTTGCAGTTGAAATCATCATAACCAGCCAATAGCAGGCGACCACTCTTGGAGAAGGCCACGGAGGTGATGCCGCAGATTATGTTATCATGAGCATAAACCATGAGCTCCTATGACAGACCAAGTGAATTATTGTTTAGTTCATGAGATTTGTTAGACATCTTACAATAACTCAGCTGTCTTCAAAGGCTGGTTTTCATTTACAAAGGTCACGATCATAAGCACAGAGCAATATGATCTAGGTAAAATAAAAGCAACAAAATCAAAGAAAACTGTTGGTGCTGCTCACAACTCCATTGCCTATGATCAACTGAAAACTGGATTGTCAGAGTTGAAAGCTTCAGAGTTCTTCCACTTCTGCTTGTGACTCCAACAATCTAGTTTTCACTAGATAATAAGCTTGGAAGTCATATGAGGAATCAAAAAAAAAAGAAAACCACAACACCCACCAAATACTTCAGATCCTTTACTAAGTTTTAAAAGGAACCTAAAGCATGATTAACCTGCATAGGCTAACTTGTCAATTAAGTTATTACCTGATCAGCTCGGATGTCAAACAGCCTACAAGTGGCATCATCAGACCCTGTTGCAAATGCATATCCATTGGGAAAATACTGAAATGAACCAAAAACAAAATATTTACCTTTTCAATCCCAATATCTTAATAGTTATCTACCTTACTGTCTGCTGTTCATTTCTTTTACAGCTCTAGGAATTAAGTGTTGACCCATTCAATGATCCTCGTGTTACTTGGTTTTCCACAGGAAAGGCCCAAATCTTAGATTACCCTGCAATTATTGTTTATCTTCCAAAGAACTTCCAGCCTTATCTTGGCAGGCACTGATTAACAGGCTCTGACAATCTAAAAAACTGCGTGGCCTCTAAAGACAAGAATAAGCCATTTATGGTTCTCTGAAGCAAACAAGCTAGTATTAGCTGTTATGTAAAGACCTTTGGCAAGGTGCTCAACTTTGTCACAGGTATGACAAATGGCCCAAACCCTTGAGCCCAAGTGAAGGCACCTGTGTCCTTTTGTAAACATTTGTCTTTATTCTTGTCACCTATCTACTTACTGCTGGGTCGACACTAAATGGAGAAATTAAGTTTTACAGTTACAAACTATCCCAGATTATTAAGTATGGCACTAAAACCAGAATTAACTTCAAAGAAGGCTAAAAAATTTGGTTTGAAACTTACTGCTACTGCATTGATATCTGATTCATGTCCTGTGAAAGTTTGTTTACACATGCCATCCGGTATACTCCACAGCTGAAAGAACAAGAATGAAGTAATTTAGTTACAATTGGTTCCTGTTTATTGAATTTCTAACCTTCTGGTTGGCTGAGTGGAGCCATGCTATGATCTTGTAACCAAGCTCAGAGCTCATGACCTAACTCTGAAAAATATGGTCTAGTGTAGGTAAAACTAAATTGTGAAATCCATCAACCGTGCTTTTTAAGGGCTAGTGTTTAAAGATATATCACAACAAGGCAGCCAACCAAAAAAAAAACAAGGAAAAAAAAAACTACTCAGACTGTAATACCTTTGCTGATGCATCACAAGCACCCGACACAAAAGATTTGCTATCTGGAGAGAGCGATAGGCTCATCACATCGCCTGTATGACCACTGAATGTGGTTGTTTGCTGTCCAGTCTCAATGTCCCACAAAGCACTGAAAACAAACATAAATTTCATTGTAAATAATAATTCTGATTGGTATGTAGGGTTGTAGCTAAGAAGTTAAGCCGCCAGCTGAAATTTCAAGCAAAGTGACTCAAAGATGGGCCTAGTGTAGTAACTACTTTTTGTTTCTACTTTCAGTAGTTTGCAATCTTGCATGGTGTGGACAAATTTACTGGAATTATAGTTTGGAAGACTATTTACTTCTGAATTACACAGTCTTACCAGGTCATATCTCCTGAACTGGTGAGAATTTGGTTGTCATCAGTGAAACGACAACATGACAAGTAACCTGACAAAAGAAGAGGGAAAAAACCATGCATAAACTGAAAATGTTTTAACCCCTTCATAATTTTCATGGAAATTCTCTTTACAGTCTACAATTCATTTCTTAAAATGTCTGTTCAAAGAATTTGTTGTTGGATTAAACAAAAATTTACGGGTTAATTTTTTCCTCCATTCTTGCCTCTCGGCTGCTCAACCCTTTCCACCCTAACATCAGTATGGATATTCTCCATACTGTTCTTCATACATTTCCAAAGAGGCTGACAAGGAGAATTTGTTTATCAATCAAGAGCTGCTTTAGTTGGAGATCGTCTCCTCTGTTCTCATAACTTTCATGTTTGATCCAGGGATGATATAGTAAGGAGAAATTAGATGCTAGTCACTCTTAGGGGGCTTAAGAGTTAATACTATACTGATACTAAGGAGAATTTACATCTTGGTCACTCCCCTGAGTTGAAGGGTTAAAAACATAGCATATGGAGATTCTGGAAGGAGAGTGGTATAGATATTGTGAAACTCTCTGACTCGGCATGCAAAAAAAGTTGTGTCTTATGGCCTGGGGCTTGTGGATTTTTCACCCCTGTGACAAAATTCACACCACAGTTGTCTAACAGGTTGGTGGATTTTTTCTGGGACTCATTCTAATTGCAGATTCTATTTAAGTTGAGGACACCACTTGTTCTCAACTTCTGGTTAGATATAAGGGGAATGGAGTTCATTATTTAAGTCCCTCTTACAAAGTGGATTATATTGATGCAAGACTTTCATTGACAAAAGTCATCCAGTGTCAAGAATCTGCTACGAAGATGGACACTTACAAGGTTTTCAAGTAGGAAAAAAGTAGCAGGAGGAAATTGTAAAGTAGCCAGAGCGCTATCTCATTGCAATAACGGCGGCCTTGTGGGATAAGGTGCTGGAACACGAAAAGTACCCGGCGCAAATGCTTGAAGTAGCTGGTGACTTGCACCACGTACCAGCAAAATTTGAAAACCCTGCATTTACAAGAATTGTAACAACAACACACCTGTGTGACCAGGCAACTCCCGACTGACTCTGACATTTCCTTCTCTTGTTTTCAGGCTGTATATGGAACAGATATTGTCCAGTCCACCTGTTGATCAAACACAACCAAACATTAGTATAAAAAGGCTAAGTCTGTTTTAGAACAGAGACCCACACTACTTGAAGTGAAGAGGAGTACTGCCCCTTCCTGAAAGACACACCAGTCCAACACATGTTCACCTTAACTTCCAAGATCTGACTAACAATTCTCCCATCTTGCTGCTACAAATTTCCTTATAACTTAGTTCAAAGAATTAGGTGTTAGATAAATTGGAGTATTCTCATTATCTGTGTGCTGGGTAATACTAGGATACTATAGGAAGAAATTTCATGTTCATCACTTGTGCGAATTTAAGGGTGAACCCCCTCTCTCCCAAGCATGATCCAAATCTACTCAGTTTGAATCATAAACCTACTGCATTTTCTAATAACAACCCAGGGCATGCTGACCATGCCCAGGTGTCCAAGGCACAGCTGTTTGGTGAGTAACACTATCCAACCCTTGGTCAACAAAGGCCAAGCTGTTTCTTCTTCTCCAAAACCCTAGTAAGATCCAATTCAAATTGCCTTCTTTCCTATTTTTGCACTCCTGTTTGACTAAAACCAAATAATTGTATATTTTGAAAAAGGTGTACACTTTTAATCCCAAGATCTGTTTATTCTCCTTATTTGCTGCTGCATGATTCATTTGAAAATTAGTTGCAAGAGGAGTTAGATCAACCTCAGCCTAATAGGTTTGAGCACTATCATTACTTGATGGATAATTAGTGGATATTAAATTAAAGGGAGAAGTTGCATGGTTATCACTTCTAGGGATTCAAGGGCAAACTCCTTTAATTTCTCTTTTGAAACACCCAAATGTCACTTAATATAAACAACGCCTGCAATTAAATTGGCTCTGCATTACTTACCACATGCAACATAATTTCCTGAGGGAGCATATGCACATGTCATCACCCAACTGGATCGTAAAGGTATTGCATGTACCTAGAACATATTGAAAATAAGTCAATGTCTTCAGTTAAATGAGGCCATAATAGGTAGGAAATGGTACGCACACAAATGTACTTCAAAGTTTAAGGATAAAAGTGATTTTCAGAAAGTTCTCATAAATGCATTCAAACCCTGGTGCCACTTGACAACCTTTTAAAAACACAGTTAGTGACCAGAAGTCATAAGATGTGCTGACAGTCCATGCACTTTTTACTTACTACATTTGTAACAAAATCACTTCCTCACACAACTTTGCACACTCTAGGTACACATTACCCACACTATCCAATGATTTGGAAACGAATGGACATTTTCCTCAAATTCATACGATAATTGTGATTGACAAATCAAAGTTAATGTAGTAGTAGTACTTAGAAAATTACTCTGTTGACAGTCTGCAGTCAATCTTGAACCCAGTCAGGCATTCATTTCATACATAATTTTGCTTTATCAACCGAGTTGATGATGTAACTTGGCCACCATTAAAAGTTTCCAAAGCAAACATTTTAAGCATTAGTCCTTCTTTTGTCGAGTATAAATTATCATGTGGGTGTAATAATTTACCTTGTTAGTTGTATATGAATCCCAAACAATAAGCTTTCCATCTTGTGAAGCACTAACTAAATTCCTGAAATTAAGAAAGCAGCGGTGAGAAGTATATCATACTAAAAACAATTTTCAGCAGTGCTTAAACCTTTAACACCCTTACATCAGTATCTATATTCTCTATACTCCTCTCTACATTTTTCCTCTAGTATTGAAAGGGAGAATTGCTGTAACAATCAAAGCCTTTTAGGTCTGTGATCATTTTCTTTATTCTCATGATCTCAATAAATGACTTAGCAGCATTACTGTTAGGTGAAATTAAATGCTGATCACTCTTAGGAAGAGAACAAAGTGAAAAGTTGAAAAAGACAAGTAAAGAAAAGGAGCAGTAATTGTAATTCACAAAATATTTTCAGTACGACAAAAAAAAAAAAAAACTAAAAAAAATTCAAATTACTAGAAGTAGCTTGAGAGTTACAGGATTAATACTGACATACCTTGAATCAGTAGCCCAGTGCATTGCATATATTTTTGCAAGATGTCCTCGAAGTGTTCTTCTAGTTCTCATCTGTATTCTACCGACAGCTTCAATATTATGTGTTACCTGAAAAGTGAGAGTAATTCAACAAATTACAGAACAAAGTCACAGGAAAAAAAAGGTTATAACCAGATCATGGGTTATACAAAGAGCATAAGACATAGTATTTACTAAACTAAATCCAACTGCTTTTTGTTTTTTACACTGACTTACTTGTGTCAGGGATGTATCGCACACTGCTTTCCTTGCATCCTGTTGGAAAAAAAAAGAGACATAAATCTCACTGATGTACTGTGGGGCAGCTTAAAAGGTTCATATGTGATTCTTTGGACTGCATAAATGTTGGCGTCCCATGTAACACCACGTAGAAAACATAAAAAATGTTCTTATCAAGAGGTACACAGGCTAGCAACTCAGAATAGGGTGAGATTTTTCTCAGTATCACCATGACATCTATATCAAAAGTAATTTATCTTTGATGTATTCACTGATATGAAGACTTGCATTACTACACAGAGAGCTCACCTACAGAATCACAAGCTTGCTTTTCGATATCAGCAATGACTATTGTAAGACTAAAATTACTTCTCGTCAAACACATCTTAATGTTTGGCACAAGAGTATAAACTGCGCTTACAAAATTAACAAATATGTGAGATTGCATTTTGTACAGAATGATCTTGACAGAAGTAATAAAATGTTCTCATTTAATCTTAAAGGTACAAAGTTCACATACGTAAATAAAGAGAAACAGCTCTTGTCAAGAGCGAATCATCTGCGAATGATAAGCCCTTGCGAGTTTAGAGATTTCAAGATGACCATGTTATGTTTGGTTGCATGCTGTTGAAAATAGGGCCACTTATTGGGTTGAACTATCTATATATTGCATCGAAAAAGGTCAAATGGCTCTCATCCACCTGTAACATCATATGACTTAGTCTTTGATGAACTAACACCTGTATCAAAGTGGTAAAAATAAAACTTAATTTGAACAGTCTCACTCAGGCCCTGTGAGATATGCTTGAACACATTGCCCTTGGGCTTAAAAAGCCAGCATTTTTTGGACCATGAGTAAAGGATCAAATGTACATATAAATTTATTTCAAGGAAAGATAATTTCAATACAATCAAACAGACTGAAATTGAGCTTCTAGATTACAACCTGAACATTGAATTATAGCAACAGGGACTTCCAACCGGTTTGTTTACAGAAAATGCTCAACTTCTCCTTTTGATAACAGAAATTGAAACTTACACAAAAGTTAACTTTCTGTATACAAGGAAACGTTTCGTTGAAAGTCTTTCTTCATTGGTTTTATTGAAGCGATATATCTCTAGGAAGGAATGAAATATGCAGAACATCACGAAAAAGAAGAGTAACGAAAGTGCAATACGGAACGAACGAAATCGTGTCAGATAATATTTCCATATCAAAGATGCTCGTCCTTCAGTGATAAGGACACTGCAAAAGTGGTATTCTTTTCAGCAGCATCTCAGGAGCTTTCCTAAGAAAACAAATGTGTGTTTCACAGTTTCCATGGTGCGGTTTAAATGTTCGACTTCGTTCAAGATGGTCGCCCGTGGGGGCCATTGCAATCGAAACAAACGTCTGGATCGCTCGCAATTCGCCTGGTTTTTTGTAAAATGAAAACGCTCGTGGAAAAAGTTAGGGTAGATTGAAAAACATTGATTAAAACTATGACATAAAAAATACGATCAGGAACTTTACGGACACACCTCAACCCATTTTAAGAACTGAGAAATGACTCGTTATCGTCGAAATATTCATAGCAATTCGACGTTTGTATCTTTTCTCGAGGAAAAGCATTGTTCAAGCGTTATATTTGAGCCTTTGCTGACTTGGCTTTAATTTCATTCGCTGTAGAATCTCTTATAAAAGTGATATTGCCCGAAAAAGATGGCAAGAGAGAGTTCGAAAGGTAAAGCTTCCGTTTTGAGTTGACTTTAGGAAGCAAAGAGAGTCAGTCTTTCAATTTCGAACATTACACCATTGAACTTGTAGGCACAAAACACAACTCGCAATTTAATCGGCACAACCGCAAAAGCTCCCCATAGTTGATACTCCTTTCGACAAGAATTGCTGAAAGCTATCCAAAGAACAACAGATGGAGCGAAAATCAAGGAGCATTGGAAAAGAACTCCGCAGCAACGATGAAACTAGACGAACTTTCAATGGCTTATCCATTTCAAGAAATGTAGTTCATTTCCTTTTTAAATTCCCAATCTTTACTCAATTTTGCCACGGTCATAACGAAAAATCAATAAAAACTATGGCTCAAGCATCATTTCTGAAACATCTCTGTTTTTTTTCTGTTTAATGATCTCGCTGCTTCGAATCATAGAGATGACGGTGCTAACTTGCTATGGTCGACATTATATTCCGACCACAAAATGCGACTTGCAAAATTTACCTCTCAGTTCGTTTAGTTAAGAATGCTAGTTTTCCTCACATTAACAGACGAGGAACAAGACCTTTGGAGCCTTTTTCTGGTAGCGATCTCAAGCGTAATGAATGCAATATTCGTAAGGAACATGGAAATGGTCTCTTGCAACATCTGCCAGTGTGTACTATAAATATAAATACTGAAGCGAGAGAAAACTTTCCTCTGAAATATCTCGCTCCTAGACATAAGATCACATCGGAAAGACGAAACATGGAAGGGAATGGTGGAAAATATTTCACATCTCGTCAAAATACTGATTGCCTTTGACAATATCGAACGACAATGCTGAAATATTGTCAGAGCTCGCGTGGCACTTCGCCGCGAGAATCTAATGGCGACCTCCACAGAACGAAGAACAAATTTCGCGATCACTAACAACAAAGCGGTCTCAAAAGAACATATTTTGGATCACATCAAGGTGAAACCGATACAAGGCTCGCGTATGATCTTTTTGGCAACTTAGATCATCGATGTCCTGCTTCTCAAACCATAAATACCACGGTTTTGAAAGCGATCAATGTGTTATCCGTTCGTTCAGTGGGTTCACCCACTTGCTAGCCGGTTGGCCGGTTGTTATGGAGTGGTAACACAAATACTTACCCTGATCTGTGCTTTCAATACTTCTGCTTCTTGCCTAAGACTTTCGAGGTCACCCGCGCCATGGCTTTGGTTCTGCTGCATTCTGAATCGATTTTTGGTTGAAAGTTGCGCCGAAAGTTACAAGGCAAATTGGGCTCAGTCGTCCGCAAACGCCTGTAGCCGCTTCCAATCCTTCCAAACGCCGCTAATTCAAAATCACCACCGGCCCAGAAAACTGCATGTACTGTTTAAACGGCGTCCACAACTTTCTTTCGTCGAAAACCCCGTTTATAACATGTAGGAGAATCACTCGCTACAATCGTTGGGAGTGGTTCCTTTTCGGCGGCGGCGGACCCTGAAATCTTACTGAGGCCCTCCCATATATAAACCGCGACCGCGATGAGTCATGGACTACAAAATTCTCATTTTTCTGATTTCTTCTCCTTCAATTGCTTCCGTTTCACCCCTCCGTTTCATTTTCATGAAAGTGGGACAAAACTACCATAAATCAATTATTCCCATCAAAGTCGCACTTAAATTATCCTGATATAGTTGCAAGGTTTTATTTTGAATATCTGGAAATATCGAACAATTGGGCTTAGTTGCATTAACAGCAAAAATGAATTCTGTTTACATTAATCCTTCGTTCTACCCCTAAACAAATTCACATATTCAATGCACATATATTCATTTTGATTGAACACGGACAGGAAGAAGTTCATATTTTGCCAATTGCTGTTTGCTGTAAAAGTCTGGTATGACTAGATATGAGATACAAGAAAAATGCACATGACTGCCTTTGTGCGCTAAGTTTTGAGGTCAACAAACTCCTACTCTTCAAAATGAGTTGAAAAGGAAAATCTTCCTCTTAAAAAATTAGTTCTTGTCGCAAGGAATAATGAAAAAGTATTTCACTGTCGCCATTTCCTTCACCTTTTCTGTTGTTTTCTCTGAAAAAAACTGCAAATTGATGCATCAGTCTTCATTTTCGTGCCGAAATTTCTCACCTTTTTCGAGCTTACGAACGAAGTAAAGTCTTCTTACTCCCCCCTCCTCCCCCCCTCCCCCCGTGTAAGACAGAGGCTCGGGACTCTCGGAAATGGCTCATTCATTATCAAATTTTTCTCTTTCATGCGTGCTCAGCTCATCTTTGATTCGAAAGTTGTCTTGTTGTCCTTTGTATTAGACGTCCTTATTTGGACAAATCCTCCGCCTTGCCCAGGGCTCAAAGCTTGAAAACGACGTGATTTCATGCGACCTTGGACAACAAACATTACAAAATAACTGACTTAAGTCAATGACTTATTGATAACTCAAAGGAAATTGAAATATTTACGTTTATTTCATAAAAGCAATAGACTGAAGAATAAGAGAATATCAAAATTTATTTGTATTTGTGGGGAAAAATGACTGGAATGCAACGAAGCATAAGGTCCTCTTAGGGGGATCTGGGTATTTCCAGTCAATATGAGAATTTCCTGTATCTCCTTTAACCTTTATTTCCTGACATCACAATGCGCGTTTACCACGTTGGCTCTACAAATTTCCGGTTATTGACGGGGAGAGTTTATTTTAAGACAAAGAGTTTCTTTAGTAGGTGATCATTTTTTTTACTCTCATAACCGACTTTTAATGATGAATTCAGGCGTGATGTCGCAAGGAGAAATTAGCTGATAGTCAGTCTTTGAGGTTAAAGGGTTAATTGCATCGTTTTGCCTCAATGACGAGGACGCTTTCGGTCATTTTCATCCACTTCCGGTTCCTTTTCGGGGTTCTATCCAGTCCTCAACAGAAACCAAAAATTTGAAGAGGATGACAATAGATATGTAAACATGCAGTATATCAATATTGCTACTAGTAATGTTAAAGGTATTGTTCTGACCCTCTTTTTAAACAGAATCTTCATCAATGATTTGTTTCCTTTTTTTTTTTTGAGCTGGGCAGTGTTGAATATTGCTGCATCCCATATACAGTATTTAACCGTTCCTCTGTGACTTTAAGGAAGCTGTCACGTATCCGGTTTTCTAGCGAGAAAGTGGACAAATTCAATGGTGGACGAAAATTACTCTTTATTTTTTTTTCTGTTGTGTCTATTTTAGTCTGTCTTCAGTTCAGTCTTATTTAGTACATTATACCTTTCTGAAGAGCTTTTTTTCCAGTAATTCACATGTCCTTCCAAAAAAAGCGGGAAATCTTGGCGCGAAAACGAGAGCGGATACCACTTTACTGCACAGTGTCGTCAGAGAAAAAGAAAAAAAAAAGAGCAAAGGAAGTGTCTACAGTGTACTTTAATCTGCCCTAAAATAACGTCTGCGTTTAACATGCAGACCTCAGAATTCAATTCCCCTTTCATTCCTCAACACCTCCTCTCACAGCCCCAGCAGTGTTCACCTGGAATTGATCAGCTTATTCAAAACGCAGGTGAAAAAATTTTCCAAGATCTTTATCAAAAACCTGTCTGACTGTCGGGCATGTAGACAATGCGTAAGTCGTATAAAAATAACTCCTTAGAAATTGCTATCATTTCGTGACAAAAGAGAAATGACAGTTTTTTGTTAACGTGTTTGAGAGATAATCTAAGATAATCTTGTGGTAGACGAATGATCTGCATGTCTCCAAGTAGTGGAAATAAAGCTTAAAAAACTAAAACATATTTGCAGAACACCTCACACATTTTCTACATCGTGTTTCGTAATTTTTGAACGGTGTTTGTTTTGTCGAAACTTCTCCTCGAAACAGAGTTGGAAAATTCTGAACAAGTCCGCCTTATCGAGACAGAGAAACAGCGATATGCAGGTAATAAAATATAATAATGGCACGTCGCAAACTCGTAAATCTTCTGTAAAATTTATACCGGAAATTTGAAATCATTTTTTAGTTAGATTTAAAGGGGCTAGAATGAAGGGGAAAATTAGGTTTTAAAATAAAATAGTTGATGGGATTTAACAGGATTAAGAAAAACCAAGAAGAAAATATTTCAAAACGTCTTTATGGAAGAGTTATTTTATAAATAAATTGTATTTTAATTTTTTTAAAAAATAGTATTGGATAAAGTATAAGGGGTTTCACAGATTGCAACTCCTCTTCACAAAAATTGAAAGTCAAGTAAATTCCCTTTTCATTTTACAACCTCTACAATCCATCCTGAATAATGATATTTTAGTTTTTGTATCAATTCTGCTGCACAAGAGTTTGGTACACAAGTGTTAACTCTTATCAAATATTTAGCTCTCTTGAAGCAGTTGGAGGGGAAAACTCAGAACACTGAAGAATTAGAAAAGTCAACCACACAACTTGATGAAGAAGCTAAGCAGCTGCACAAACAATTTACACAAAACAGGGAGATATGTGCGAGGTAAAGAGTAACATCATGGTTTCCATAAAAAACAGTAGAGGTGCTCTAGGGGTGCAAATGCTCAGCTCTTGGTCATTGTTTTAATATGTTAGACTTACTACAGAAAATCTGACCAGTTGGGAGTATTCACTCAAGATACAATGGCATGTGAAGTTGACATAATATGGCAATATCTGCAGCAGATATGCATTCATCACATTGAATTCAAAGTCTGCCTAGTTTCCTACCCTTTTGTCCATGCAGTGTTCTCAACCTTTGCAAACTCAGAGAAAAGTATCTTCCTCTGAGGATTGTTTAAAAAATGTATAATAAAACAATTATTGAATTCAGTTTTTTTTTGTTTGCATTATATGGATTACCTAACCTTGTTCCTGTGTTATCTACCTCAGCCTGCGGCTTTGGTTGATAACACTTATCTTGGTTTTAGTGATTCATGTTATCATGCTCAAACTCATCCAACAATTGCATATAGTTGTTTTGCAACTTCTAATCTGAAAACTTTAAAAAGATTAACCTTGAATGCCCTTGACCTTCAACTTACCAAACTGTGTATGACCCATTCAGAACAAAGTATATCAACCAGTTACTATCAGATCTCTCCCTCCCACCCTGAAAAACACATAAAATAGCTAGAAAATGTTTGGAAGTTGACAACAGCTAATTCTTTTGTTTCACCTGCAGCTTGAAACGAACCAATTGTGTTCTACAAGAACATGAAGAAGCCATGGAGAAAAAGAAGGAAATGGTGGTTGATAAACTTGAGAAAGCCAGGTGAGAGTAATAATAATTCCAAGTGGTGTAAATCATTTATAATTTTCTTCAGCTACAACTGTTCCATCTGGAATTTCATCCTAACCTTAATTTTTATTTAGGTCCAACAACCAAAGTATCCTCAACAAGTATGAGGCAATATGGGACAGATATAAGAAGCAGTATGAAAGTAAAGAAAATGCTCAGGAGCTCACAAAGATAAAGAAAAACACCATGGAAATCAAAGAAGAATGTAAGTTTCTAGTGATAGTCATGTCATTTATCTACTTCCAGTGATTATAGAAATGTTGGAAGATACCATGTTGCAGTTGCAAATTGTTAATTTGTTGGTAACATTTCATTTTACTTAGTGCAAACAATACAATCCAGTATCCAGCAAACAGAAGAAGGTATTTCCTGCATGGAAAAAGAAAAGAAGAACATTGAAGGTATCATATATGGGTCATTTCCTAATGTTATTGTTAGGATAATTCATCAACCTTAAAACCATGCTGATTTAGCTTTCTAACCACTAAGAGTGATTTGAATCTAATTTCTCCCAACAGTACCATTGCTGAATCAAAAACTTCTGTCATGAGAATAAAGGAAATTATTATCCCCTAGAAAAACTTTTATCTGCTAAACAAATTCTCCTTGTCAGTACCACAGATTATGAGGAATGGTATACTGTAAACTGATGTTAGGGACCAAAGGATTAAACAGACTTAACCAAACATCTTTATCAATCTAATTTCAGAATCACTAAAGAAAGGAATCACATCTGCTATTCCACTTATGATCCAACTGTATCCTTCAAACACTTCACATTAATGAGAAATTTTGATCAATTACTCACAGTTGATTTAATCAGAATCAGCCCATCTTATTACATCAGCTGAAAATCAACTATCAGTATAAGAGTTTGTGTTATTGCAGAGTCTATCAGTGAAACGTATAGTCACTTTGGAGGGCTCGGATTTAAAGTTATATTCTTTGACAGTGTAAAGAGCTCAGCTGAATATTGAGAGAAGAACAACTGAAGACTACATAGAGAGGATCAGATCCAAAATAGCCAACACCAAACAAGCAGACTTCAGGAAATGTGTGAATGAAGGTCATCAAGAGAAAAATTCCCTAGATGAAAATACTTCTCAACCTCACACCCCAATGATGATGTCACAGCAAGTTGAGCACTCAGGTTTTGAACAGTCCTCAAAACAAGAGGGCATTGTGTTGCATATGGAAGTGGAGTCATGTGAAGACCAAAATGTGCCAATCCAGCAAAAAGAGGCTGTACCAATGGAGAGATATTCTCCTGAGCAGTTATCAGACACTCTATATCAGCAGAGAAGGCATTACACAGATGATCAAACAAGTTCAGCTCATGAGCAGAGCTGTACAGATCCACACCTTCAGTCTTTAGGTGATAAATTGGCAAATAGAGAGTGCTGTAATATTTCAATCCCCCATATACAAAATACTACAATATATATTATGGCAACAGGACTGAGTGGAGTCCAATTTGGTCTGTGATTGTAAGTGTATACAAAATTGGACAATCTCGAAGTGGGAGTCTAATTTGTCAATCACAAGTTTGATTACAGACTGAAATGGATGACAAAAAGTCCTAATACCAATTGCTCATAACCATTACATTTTCCATTTATTTGAGAAAATATCTCTAGTAGAGAAATTGTCTAAAGTAAAAAATTCCTCCATTTTGGAAACTCCTCAGTTTTGTAGGGTAAGCGGTTGTTGCTATGGTTATTGTAATAAATTCTGTGATTTGTGGATCTAGTTTAAAGGACTTAGTGTCATTGGCTGCTCTAAATATCTGATTATATGTGTCTGATTACAGCCAATTGTCCAATTACACCGACCAATTTCAACTCTACAAAATACAGAGTTGAATATAATTACTGCGAAGATTGCTTTCATATTCAGAATATTAAATACAATTGAGGAATTTGGAATTGGTTATGATTAAGATTGTTATAACCATAAGAAATGTACTGGATAAGCGTTTGAATTTCTGCAACTATTAAATTCCAAAAAATGGTTGACAGACATCAAAGTAACCGATTAAAATATTCTCCATCAATTTTTTTAACTCTTCTTTAGCTTAATGTTTAATCCAGTTGAATATAGTCAAAAGTATTCATATTTCATACAAAACAGCTGTAGCTGAAACTACATCAACTTCAAATGATGACGAGGAACAGACAGTCCTTCCTACAACACCAACATCAACAGGACAGCCAAACTGTGGTTCCATTTCAACCTCAGAAGTTGTCAAAAGTCCATTTAACTTTGAAGTGCACTCAGATATGATCCTACAGCTCACCAAATCACCTGGGGATGGTTTTCTGTTTCATAATCGTCCAATGTTTGACCATAGCTCTGTGGATCCAGAAAACAATCAGGTATTAAACCTTTACAACCTGACATCAGTATGCACATCCTCCATACTGTTATCTACACTTTTCTTAAGGTGCTGACCAGGAGAATTTGTTTCACAATCAAGGACTTTCTTAGTTGGTGATCATTTCTGTTATTCTCATGATCTCAAATGAATGATTCAGCAATATAATTGTCAGGAGAAACTAGATGCTGGTCACTCCTAGGGTTTAAAGGGTAAGAGTGAAAAGAAATGACAAAGAGCTACTAATTTGAGTGTGTTTCAATGGAGTGTTGAAAGGAATCCAGGATTGTATCAGTTCTGCTCTACTGTGCTCTAGGTTGATCTAGAAAAGATATGCCACTTCTAAAGCATAAAGATGTATTTTTTTTTTTAATCAAAACCACTCACAACTCTATAACATTTATTTTACAATGCTTTGGAAGTTTGCATGTTCCTTCTTTTAATTCTCATTGAATTCTTATGTTTTTTCCTGAGTTCTGATCGGTTATTGTCAGTGATTACTTTAGTTGTGGTTTTAATACACTCAGTGAAAACTATGAGAACTATGCATTCTCAATATTCCTGATTTAAGGTTTAAACATAAGAAATAAAGACTTAATCTATATAATCTATAGCTACAAGTTTGTATATAAGTTAAGATCAATAATCATTAATGATTGATGAAATTGTCAAAGCATCAAACCGTAACCAGGAAACAAAATTTCTGTCTCACAAATTTTTATTTTAGCCAAGTGCAGATAGTACACCTTTTACATTCAACATGCAAGGGACAAGGAATACCTCAGGATCAGTTGGTAAGTAATTCAAAGAGTGTTAGGATTGTACTCATGACAGAAATGATAGATAAGTCTGATTGCATGAGATTTTACTGCTATTATTTTAGCACTGCATGACATTGCTAAGCATTTCCTGCTGAAAGTTCAGCAAGATTTAGGATTAAAAAAACATATTTCTTGATATTTGGTGTCACCAGGGGATTTATCATGATAATAAGAAGACACTTGGTGAACACAGTAATATGGATATCTGCTGTATCAAGGCAAATTATGTGGCAAATACATCTTCCTAATAAGAATTATCATACCAGTGAATATCTGATCCCTGCAGCAATCAATGTTTATTTTAGCTTGTTTTAAAAATTCTTAAAAATTGATGACAGTTTCATTTGAAAGGAATTTCAAAAGTTATAATTATGTGTTTTTTTTATACTCTTAGATCATTTGATAATCATGACCAAAAAGTTTGCAGAGGAAGAATAAAACTTAACACAAAACTGTCCTATTTTTTATACTCTGATTAATTGGTAAATACTGGAACAAGAAAGAGGGAAAGAAAGAAAGATAGGTCATCGGAATGTAATTTTCACGTGTAAATGGACTCTTCTACATTCAGAGATTAAACCAGATCTCAGCCAGAGAACAATGACCTAAAGGTTTTAATTAAAAACAAACAATAAAATGATTTTTTTGCATTGTGAAAGGCTGACTAAGGGTTAATATGATTAGCAAAGCTGTTTTCTTATAAAATATTGTGACAATGTCTCGGTGTAATCAAGGCAAGCTGGTGACCTGTTGATGTTGTGCCAAAAGAGGAAGCTTGTAATTCGTTATAACTACTAGTAAACACTGCTAGATAAGATCAAAAAGTTATCATGCTTTATTTCTAGTGTGAAAACATCACATCAGAATTATTCACACATGCTATACAAGCAGTTTTTCCATATATTCTCCTCCTAGTAATTCACAATTGCTTTAAAGTGGACTATAACCATAGTAACTACAGTAACTATTGGCTTACTTTCATGCCTGTTGTAAAGTTCAAACACTTGCTACAACATCTGTTTTCAGAGCAATTTTCATTTATCTTTCTTCTCTTTTTGCAGGGTCAGTTGGTGAGTTTGATTTAGGAAGGCCTGATGTAAACCTCTTTGAACCATCAGCAACCACAGAAAGTAGAAGTAGCATGGGTCTCTTTGGTACAAGCATGTCACCTGTAGTAAGTGGCTGTTCAATCTTTGGAGATGTAGATTCTACCTGCCGATCAAAAAGCCCAGAGGCTTTCACTTTCTCTTTTGGGACAACTTCCCAATCTGGCATCACCAAAAGCCCAAACAGACCTGCATTCAGCTTGTTTTAAATCTGAAAAAATACAAAAAGAAAATGGGGATGAGGAATTTTAAAATTGTTTGTAACGTTTTATCAGTCTCTATTTTACCAGAGGTGAAAGAGTAATAAAAATTTTGCATTGCAAACTGTATTTTTCTGTACTTTTGGAAAAGAGGCTATAGCCCAGATTTATCATTTACCTAACAATTAGCCTTGCTAACCACAAATTATCCCTGAAGTGTAATACAATTTAATAAACAAATGAGTGTTGTCAAGAAGCTGGTCCTAAGGAAATTGGGGGATGTGGAGAAGGAGGGATAGATAACTGTCTGTGGGGTCAACTTGGCCTGAGGCATTTTATCCATCTAGGGAAATTACTCATTCAAAATCAACGGCTTTTTGCCAAAGAATGTTTGCCCTATGTTGGGAATTTAACCTTCCCAAAGACGCAGTCACACCCTGATCAACAGTAACGACCAGTTTCAGCCCAGATTTTGAATCAAACTAGTAGGACGTATCGAAAATCTCTTTCAAAATAACGCTCTCAATTTGAAATGACTGATGGAATCCCCTTAGAAGTAAACAGGTGTCTACGTTTAAACTTTTCATTGAAATTTTGGGTTCCAGACAGTTCCTGTGTGGTATCATCCAACAGGAAACCGGCTCGCGATTAGTATCTTAGATGCAACGTAATCGGATCAATTGACCTCAAAAACCAAGCCGTGACGAAGTTTGTATCGTGTTGATTTAATTTTCTCTAGTACTCAACTTAACTTTAAGTTAACACGCTAGGATAAATACGGCAATGTGGGAGGGTTTGCGTTTGTTTCACAACCTTCAGTAAATAAACACACATCTGTGGTATTTTAGAAGAGTGTTTATTTTATTTTGAGGACTTACCAGAGAGTAACAAATACCAAAGATTTCTTCACTGACAGATTCCTGTTTCTCGTCTTTATGATGTATGATCAGAGACAAGCTTTAACCGCGCCGTAATGCTATTAAATTCATTAAATCCGTAAAACTTGCTCATTCGCATATCCAATCATGCGTGAAGCTAGTGTTGTGATTCACTGATCTTTGCGGCATTTTGACTTTAAACTGAAAACGGCGGTCGGAAGTCCTTTGTGCGGAAACTACTAAGAGCGGAAAGAGTCACTCGAGTAGGCGAGTAGAGTAGATTTCTCAATCATTTGGTAAGAGCAATTTTACGTGTACAGTACTTACCATCAGCTTGATCGACAGATTTCACACGAGTTTTGAAGATCTTTACTCTCCAAGATCTACCTTTTTACCTATGATTCGCGCGAATATTATTATTTTCTTTTTGGTGATCTTTTGTGATGAATGTGTTGTTGTCTAACTGGATTGTGTCTCGCCGCTCTTTGATTGGCCGACATTACCCATGTGACCCAACAGTGATTGATGTGCCAGCCATGCAATAGGACTTCTTGTTCATGTTGGTGTGGTGAAGAGTGTCTTGATCAAAATGGACGAAACAAAAGTTATATACCACATCGACGACGAAGATACGCCGTACCTTGTAAAGCTACCTAAAAGTCCTTCAGAGGTTACTCTATCGGACTTTAAAAATGTCCTCAATCGACCGAGTTACAAGTTCTTTTTCAAAAGTATGGATGACGATTTCGGGTGAGTTGATGTGTACCAACTGTACGCTGTATGTAGATTGCTTTCATAGCAGTGTTTACGTTGTCTCTTGCTCTAAAGTCATTTCCCTAGCGGAACACCTTTGATTTTCAAAAGAGTTCATATTTGTATAGCATATTCTGAAATGCGTTTGTTTTGAAAAAAACACTGGAATCCTTTCGAATGCTACGAGCTCCAGAATATTGCTGTCAAATATTCCCGGCTTCTCTTACTTGCTAGTGTTCAAGGTGTAAGCTTACAGTAGCGCTGCGATTAGAGACTCGATGTGTTTATCGCCTGTACATGCCTACCGCTTGTTCAAACAATTTTCCATTATTTCTAACTACTCAAGGCGAAGTCTTTTTGTCGCTTCTTCGCGCAGATTTTATGCATTCCAGCCAAACTCTTGATAGCGCGTTTTGCCTGTAACCGATATCTTCAGTTGATAATTTCTAATTCCTATTGCAGTGTGGTCAAAGAAGAGATAAGCGATGAAGAGATGAATTTGCCTTGCTTTAATGGACGGGTAGTTGCTTGGGTAAGCCGTCTGTCATTGAATTTTTTTAAAAAACATAACCTGCCGATGGATTACCGATCGAAGCCAGCCAAAAGAGCTAGTGTGTTGACGTATTTTCGTAGCAGGGAACACAATTTATCTTAGATTGTAACTTGATCATGATCGTGCATAGCAGGCGATTGCCTTTTTTAACTCTTATTTTAGCCGGGAAACCTTTTTTCCTTTTTTTCCCGTGCATTTTCCCTCCTCGACAGCATGATTTGAGGACGCATATCCGTCTGGCGCCTGACGCTGTGTTTATTACACTTCTTAGTATGATCTTGTTTTACGGTTATTATTTGGAACGCTATCGAACGACATAGAGTTAGTCCTCAATATAAACACATTTCGACTTGGATTTGTCACCCTATCTTTTAAGTTTTTGTGGAAATCGTCGCACTACAACATCCAAACCTCAAATGTCGCTCGTCGTATTTTATCTTCAGAAAGATATTGGCTTGTCGATTGTCCCTCGGTAATCAAGTTTTCTTGATTGTACAAAACCTCATCTTTAATTTATATCACACTGAGTTCCTACTGAGTCAATTGTTTGGAACCAAGATTTAATCTTGATCATACGGAAGAACTAGTAACTGTTCCTCAGATGTAAACAGTTTGCTCTTTTGCCGTATAGCTCTGCGAACGATTTTTTGTTCGATCGCGTTACAACCTTCACTTAGTCCCACGCGTATAGCAGCCGCTAATTTACATTCCTATGTTTAGCAAAAAAAGCATAGTAATTTACTCAAGTTAAGTCTTAAACCAGTGCTCGAGAAGCTCAGCGTTATTTAAAGCGAAGTGCTGTTACAAGATTTGCAATTAGAAAACCATCTATCAACTTAGAGGGTTTTTTTTTTACTTCGTTACTCATCAAATCTTCGCACTCTCCAAGATTTTTCATCTCCCAGTTCTCGTAAATTCTCGCTCTTTTTTTTCCTTGGAAGCACTCTCTTTTCATATAAATCCATTATAGATAAACTTCTGTGGTTTTAATCGTATGAACCATTTCGAGATCAATTTTATATATTACTATGCTACAAGATGAAAAGCCAAGTAATGGAATGAGCGCGCCAAATAGGATGCCCTTTCTCGTTTGTTCTTAATTTGTATCGCCTAAATGGGTTTTTTTTGTGTTTTCGTTCGGAATCGCGGCTGACTGGCCACCCAGCGATTGACTGATAACAGCATAAGTGATGTGATGGCAAGTAAAACACATTTAAGACAGATGTTTTGGTAAGACAACTCATTACCAATATTGAAGACTCACAATTCACGCTCACATCACATGGAATGCCAGGATTAAGCATGGATTAGTCAGTTCACAGCAGTGATTGGTATTTTAGTACTTTGGACACCTTATAAATACTCAAGGTTTCGTTTCTTTTCTGTTCCATATGACACAGTTCTTTTTTGTGGCATATTAAAATTGAAATTTTATCCAGCTGGTTTTGTTCGGTTAACTGTCAGTTTCGCTTTGTCATAAAGTCCAGGTATTTCATTCATAGATGGACGTGCTAATGGCCTTGTTGGCATACCTCATTAGCATCCTTTTGAGAGATTAAAACAATTAAGCTTTATTTTGGACAAATGATGGTAGCCTGTAGGATTAAAAAAATGTTTGTTCGTCAACTGGTTAGGTGTGCCATTAAAATATCTATTTTAGCTTATATTTTGAGTCTAAGGTATCAAAAAAATTTATTTCTAACATTTATTGCTGGTTGATTGCAAAAATATAATTGATTGTTCTTAGGAGGCTTCATCATAAGTTCATTAAATCTCTGGATAATAATATCGCAAGAAGGAAAGTGAAAAATGTTCAGTTATGCTTTTTTCCTATTTTTAAATATTTAGGCTTTGCTCCACAATCCTCATGGTTTTAGCTCTTTGTTAAGGAGCTTTACTCTTTGCTTTGTTGATAAATCCAATTTGTGTGGTGGCTTTTTAATCATGGAAAGGCAAACCACTGAATGATCAACTGTAATATTTTAAACAAGCACAAAATATCTTACTGCCTATGTATTGTTCATCAAGTGATTTAATTGCTTTCTTGTGACAATAATAAAAGCTCTTAAACTGACAAGGCCAGCCTTAAATGATATTGTTAATTGCTGAAGTCTGCCTCAGAAGAATTGTTCTAATATTTTCCTTCTGATTTGTCATAAAGGAAATCACACCATAGGCATTTTCTTGTTTTGAATTGTATGCAAAGTTTGTTTACAGGTTGAAGAAACCTAAATTTTGTATTCACTCCCTGGAGGCATGTCATTAATAGGATAAAATCTGTCTCTAGTTGCAAAGAATGTGCTGTAAGGATTACATTTGTATCCTGGACCAAAAGAAATCACTGATTACAAATCTAATTAGTTTATCAGCTGTCAGATTTGGGCTCTTTGGGTGTAGATTTCTCCATAGAAATGCAATTTCCTGAAACTTTTATGGTAATGTAATTAATTATTGAAGAAGTTCGAAAAATGGTTGAATTAAGAGGTTAATCACATACAAGAATCAAGAATCTCTCAAAATCTGTTCTCAAATTGGTGGGTAATAGGATTGGTGATATTAAGAGAAAATTAAAATTTTTGTAGTTGATGAAGAGAAGGCAGCCATGGTGTAAAAGTGTCATTTCTTTCATACAATTTTCATTCATTGTGCAAGCATAGATCTTTGTCAGCTCTTCTCAAAATAGTAGTCTTACTCAAACATACATTGTTACTCATTCTTTACCTTTTTGATATGATTCAGTTCCACTTATTAACCTCTGGACCCCCTACGTGCCTAGCATCTAATTTTTCCTTCCAAAATCACCCCTGAATCATGCATTAAGGTCACAAGAGTAAAGAAAATGGCCTCAACTAAAGAAGATCTTGATTGTTAAACAATTCTCCTAGTCAGCACAGTAGGAAAGGTTTCGAGAACACAATGGAGAATTTGTAAACTGATTTTGGGTGTAAAAGGTTAAAATCTTAACCCTTTAACTCCCAGAAGTGATTAACATAAAACTTCTCCCTACAACATCCATACATTCTTCAGCAAACAGGTAATGAGAATATTCAAACTTATCAGGTAGAAGCTGCTGTCTTGATCTAGCTCCAGGTTCTCATAACTAATTTACAAGGAAATGTGTAGCAGCTACAAAGGAGAATTAACAATCAGATCTTGGGAGTTAAAGGGTTAAGTTAGTTCCTTCTTCTAAAACATTGTGCTAAAGAAAGGGGCACAAAATAATGAGCACTCCCCTTGAAATGCATGAAATTGTGACAAATACTCAGTGGTATACAAAAGAGATGATATGGACTGGACCATGAAAGAAAACCAAAAAAAAACATAGAAAGGTTCATTTCTGAGTACAAGTCAGCAGAAAGTGACTAAAGATCAAGTATTGTTGTGAATTTAACTTAGTATAGAACACGAGTAACAATTTCTGACATCAAAACTTAACTAAGAATGCTTAAATGCAAGTCTGATCAGTAATCATAAATTTTTGTTGCAGCTTGTCACATCAGACACAAGTAGTGTGTCGGACACAGGCAGAGATGATCAGCAGTCAGTTATATCAGCATCATCTGATATGCACCCTCCAATGCCCAGAACAGTTGGTATTGGAGACTCCAGACCACCTTCTTTCCAGTAAGTTAAACTTATACTCATCTGTTCTCACCTAATGTCTGAATATTAATCCAAGATTTGTCATACCCCCTACTGATTCAGCACCACAGTTTCTAAAGGAACTCACCCCTTTCTTGGTTTGTAGCTCAGTTAGGAAGCATCAGTGTTTGAATCATAATGTGGACTCAAATTATCTGTTTTCCCTCTCTTGTGGCAATTTTCCTCACATCTTTTATTATTTTTCTGTTATTTATGTTTAGTCCCCATGGAGGGCACTCAACAGCAGGTGATTTTGACTCAGAAGTAGATTCCACAGTTAGTTCCAGAAGAGGGTCAAGAAGGAGGGACAAACATATCAACAGAAATGAAGGTAACCAGAATTTTATTTTCAAATTTGTCCTTTACACTGCTGTTTGTGTTATGTGCTTATGGCCTTTTTCTGTTGTACACCAACTGTTGTGATCACTGTCATTACTTAGTGTGACTCTATAAACTTTCCATCCCAAACACTTCAATTGATAGGCTATGCTGTCTGCTATCTATTCTATCTTAATGGGTTCCATGTTGCCATGCTTCTGTTTAGTAATAGATTGCAGATGATGTTGAACTGTGTTAAGAACAAAAAAAAAGTGGCACACAAGGGGGCAGCCAAGTGTGTCACTCATGTTTTTACTCTTTTACTCTAATATCATTTGTAATCTATTACTGTACACACCCCTGGTAAATTGGAATTTACTTGATTCACTTGATTGAAAAGCAAAATGTTGTTAAAAGTGAGGTCATCTATCTCTCTGTCCTCTGATAAATCATGAGTAGGAATCAATCAAAATTCCTGTGTAGTTGGGCTTGATTACATAACTCTAGATTGACAATGAGTTGAGTGAATACCGTAACATTGTGTGGCTGTAAACAAAATGGAACAAAAACATGAGCTTGTCTTGTTCCTTAGTGTTTTACAACCAGAAAAATTATGCTCAAAGTTAAGATTATTTACCCAGCTCTATGCGAAAAAGTTGATTTGGTCTTTGGTCTCATCAACCATCAAGTGCATCAAATCTTGAGATCATCTGATCTTTTAATGTGGGCAATTTGTTTGTGTTTCAGTGGTGCATGGAAGACATAGACAAGGAGGAAGACATGAAGGTGATCGGTATGAGAGTGCTTCCATGATGAGTAGTGATATTGAATCAACAAGCTATATGGATTCTTCAGATGATCAAAGCAGGTGAGTGCAAAATATGATAAGTTGTTTCTCTGTCTGGTCTTAAGCATAGGACTAAGTAGATATGCTGAGTTTCCATGAGGAATCTAACCCTAGATTTGAAAATTCTGTGCTATGATGCTCTCCTATTGAGCCACAGAGACTCCTAATGTTGAGCAAGGCCTTTACAAGGTTGATATGGAACATGCATTGTGCATACTGCAAATCCTTAACACTTTAACTCCCAAGATCTGATTGTTAATTCTCATCTCTAGCTGCTTCTGATTTCCATGTAAATTAGTAACAAGAATTTGGTGTTAGGTCAAGACAACAACTTCTACTCAATAGGTTTGAGTAATTTCAATATCTTTTTGGTGGATAATGTATGGATATCTTAGGGAAAAGTTATGTGGGTTAATGTTGAAAAGTGTCATGTGGATAAGTATTATATGAAGGAATTGACTCATCAAAATGTGTTTGCAGTGTTTCAAGGTTCTCCAGTACAACTGAAGGTTCTCAACTTCTTAGAGGAAGACATAGAAGGCGGAGAAGACGACCAAGGATGCCAAGAGTGCAAAGGGTGAGTATCTTAGCCTTTGTCTTCATTTTTCCCCTAGTGTAAAGCAACCTCTCGGTGTTGAGAATGACTTATTTATATTAACCTTAAAGATAACAACAAGGGAAAGTTCTCCATTAAGTTACTAAGGAGTTAACCAATTCCTTGGATCCACTCATGATGAATTTCCTGTTAGCATTTGCTTGTGTAACAATTTTTGGAATTCAATAAGCACTTGACAGACTGTGTAGTGTTCAAGAACAGTGTAATATTGCTGAAATATGAAGAATTATATTACATATTTTTCATCTGATACTATACGACAAAGCCTAATAACCACTGAAAATATTTGAATTGCGATCACTCTATCAAATTACGCAAGCATACCCTCGTGTTTTTTTAAAATATTTTGAATTTTTTGCCTAAACTGTACTTGTTGTCTTTACAGTGTTCATCATTTAGTACCATAACAGAGTCAACCATGTCACTCAACATTATAACAGTCACACTTAATATGGGTAAGACTTCCCACAGGGACAGTTTGCTTTTTTATTGTTAACATTTTGTTTCTTTTATTTTGCTGTACAGAAGAGAAAAGGAAAAAAATCATAAGAGGCCATTATATTTTTCTTTTTCAGAAAAAGTAAATTTTCTAGGAATAAGTATTGTAGGTCAGAGCAACAAAAGAGGAGATGGAGGAATTTATGTTGGTTCTATCATGAAAGGGTGAGTTTCACTTGGACAAAACTACATTATGTTAACTACCTCAAACTATTTCTTTCAGTTGGAGAAAAGAGCAAATCTTGTCCTTAAAGCAATTTTGCAAGAATCATCTAAAGAATGTGTTCCCTATTTTGTAATTTGAAATAGTACTTTAAAAAAATTGATAAAAATTTGCCATTGCAGAGGAAAGTAATTTCACCCCTTCTGTTTTTCTCTTTGACAGTGGTGCAGTGGATTTGGATGGAAGGATAGAACCTGGAGATATGTTGTTGCAAGTATGTGAAATATATCTTAGGATCTAAATCATAGTGCTCCAGATCTTTTGGTCCTTCTCTTCCACTAAAGCTTCCATCAAACTTTATCACTTTGCAAAACTTTCTGGGCTTATTCTGGTCTTTATTGTTAATAGGTTAATGATGTAAATTTTGAAAATATGAGCAATGATGATGCAGTGCGGGTTTTGAGAGAAATGGTCCATAAACCTGGGTAAGAATGTCTCTTTTACTGTCTAGTAGTACTTAGTCAATGCAGTTAAAATTTTTCATGAAGGGTTGAAATAACTTGCCATTTGAAGTCTTTGCATGGTGTTAATTAGGTTTGCATTGTGTCCATGTGAAAGCTACAAGTCCTAATGTTCATCTGTTCCAGATGTTTTTTTTATGTCTCAAAAGTTGACATTGTACATATTTATGGGATAGAAATCCCTTGAAATTCACTGTCTTGTAAAGGCCTCCCAACCAATAGATTATGCAGTGAAATTTCAAACAGAGTAAATGGCTTAGATAGCCAAGAAATCATAGAGTTTGAAGTCACTTCCCTTGCTTTTATCTATAAATAGCTCTGATTTATTGCATTCTATGTTGGTGGTATCAGACATGTAGATATAAAACTAATTATAAACGTATTAAGACTATATACTACCATGATTCAATTATTCATAGTATGTGTGTAATTGTGTGATTATCAATTTCAGTCCCATTACTTTAACCGTTGCCAAATGCTGGGATCCTACACCAAAAGGATACTTCACATTACCTCCTAGTAAGTATAATTATCATAGTTTTTCCTTAGAAAATGGCGAACATTCATCGTCCCCTCAAATAAGGTCATTGTTAGTGCTTGATCAGATTTGGTTTTTTCATTAAACATTAATCAGTGTTTAAAACAGTGATACTTCATAGCACTAATTTGTGTACAAGGCAGTACAAGTTTCATTTGTTTTTGGTAGTTTCAGAAACGGAACTTCATCAATACTGCAAAGTTCTCTGCAATCAATTTGATTTTTCTTAAGGTCCACAAGATTGGTACTGTGCTAAAGATATTTAAAGGTTAAGACTCTCTGGTTTGAAAGAATTTTAAGAATGGGACGTGGAATTTTAGAGAGGTTGCCATAAATATGTAACCAAATACTTTCTTTTTCATAAATCACTTAATGCCTAAAGGCTCTTGTTGCCTAAATCCAGGGTGTCCAGTTATTTAAAGCATTCATAACAGCAAAGTCATTTGAGTTGCACGAAGGCAAATGTTAGGTGCATGCGGCATCTGGGCCCTATAAGAGGATGGTCCCAGACAACTTTTCATTTTAGGTTCTCATGAAAGAAAACACATTAGTTTTGTGTTCGTGGTTGTAATTGTAATTTAAAAATTTCATGTCCAGGTGAACCTGTGCGTCCAATTGATACCTCAGCATGGGTACAACACACCACAGCAATGACTCGTAAGTATACATCAGCCTTTTTTAAAAGGTCATCTATTTAACTTGTAGTATTGCATATTGTTATGATTTCAAGATGTACTGTTGTTAAAAACATTTTCAATTACTTATTCTAGAGTTTGGACCAACTGCACAATATGGAAAACAACCAAACAGTCAATCACTCACAACAATGACATCAACCAGCTCATCAATGACAAGTTCTCTACCGGAATCAGACAGTGAGTTGCTATGTGGGACACTTAATCCCAATTTCTTATTTCCTCAGATAATAACTGAGAAAAATTTTCCCATTGAGTGTGAAACAATATATGAAAAAGATGTAGTTAATGAGTAAGTAGGTGTATGAGAGAGTGATTATCGACCTAGTCTGTTTAAATTTAGTCCATTCAGTGTCATTGGAGTGCAGTTGACTTTATTTAGCTCTTCTTTTCACATCCTGTTATAGGATATACTGAACTTCAAGAAGGTGAAGGACTCTCAGTAACCTCAGACATGACCTCGATAGTTAAAACAATGGCAGCTCCAGAATCTGGCCTTGATATCAGAGACAGAATGTGGCTCAAGATTACCATCCCCAATGCATTTATAGGTAATTGTAAGGGTAAAAGAGGGGATGGGGAGAAAGTTTGGAAATAAACCTCAAGAGAAAAAATGCGCTGCAGCCATCAATGTCACTTTGTTGACTGTTTTGACTTAATACCAAGAACTCATAATAAAAGTGTTGATTTCAGTATGGGTACTGACATTATTGCAAGTGCAACTTGGGTTTAAAAAGCATGAGTAAATTTTTTAAAGGCAACAAAATTGCACGAGCCTGTAAGTGCAATTTGTCGTCTTTAAAACATTTACAAGTGCGTGTTACATGAAATTTTTAAGAGAAAACGTGTTATTACTTGTTAATAACGTACATGAAAATAAATTACAGAAAGTTAAGAAAGACAGAATTTTGAAGGCGTGTGTGCGCTATTTGTAATTAGCATTCGCGTTATAACTTTGCACTCATGAGAAGAAACTCATTTTTAGCCAATCTGAAGGGCGTAATTTTTTCATGTACATTATTAAGTGTTATTTTCTTTTGCATCACAGGATCTGATGTGGTAGACTGGCTGTATTCACATGTAGAAGGTTTTCAAGACAGACGTGAAGCAAGAAAATATGCTTGCAATCTTTTGAAGGTAAATGCCCTTTTCGAACTTGTGTGCCATGTACTCAGACTAAATCGTTCCTTGCTGCTGTCTTTTTTTTGGTTTTTTGATTTTTTTTTTGTGATGTTTTATTTGCATCTCACATTTGTCTGTATATGGTTGTTTATCAGGCTGGTTTCATTCGACACACAGTTAACAAGATTACTTTCTCAGAGCAGTGCTATTATGTGTTTGGCGATCTTTGTGGAAGTAAGTCTTAATTTCTCCTGTTGCCCCCACGTAATTTGGTAGAGGGTTTGGGGAGCTGACGGCTCCTCTTTGTTTTCATTGTAGATGTTATTATCTTGGGTCAACAAGGACAAATTTCCCTTTTGCTCTGTTGTTATCGAATGACTGAAATGCTTTGTAAAATGACAAGGCTTGAAGAAAGATGTTATTCATCTTAGGACGAGCGTGCGATGAAAATGAGGCTTGTTTAACATGGAGTTGAGAATGTTTACTTTTTGAAACGGGGTTTTTCTTAAATCCGGCCCTGGCAATTCCACTTCTCTGTTCCCGGCCCTCAGTCAGAGGAGACGAGCGTATAAGTGGGCGCGAAAAAATAGCATTCACGAGATAATCGGATGCACGAAGGGAAATACAACCACCGGGTCTGTTGCCGTTTACTGACTGTGATTTCGCTCGTCTTAAGTCACTCAGATCCTGCCCAGACTTCATATCCACTGGAATTTGTTTTTAAGTGTTTACTTTGGGTTTCAGTTTCCATCATTCCAATAATTTCTGCTATGTGTTTTGTGATGATAGATATGGCGGCTCTTACGATCAACGAACATGAGGGCGATGGCGACCAAGACACTTTGGGACCCCTCCCAACACATCAAGCTATTTCGTGGATAGCAGGTCCACCAAGTTACGGATATCATCAAATGCCTTCTTACCCGGGCCCTCCTCCTCAAGCCATAGTGGACACACAGACACCTGGGTACGCTCAGTCATTCTACAGCGCACACAGTGGCAGCCAAAGTCCCCACAGCGCTAGTGGCAGCTCACGGAAGAGCGGAGGAGGAGGCGACCGCGCTGATGGTGACCATCGGAGTAGTGGTGGAAGCAGTAGCGAGAAGAGCAGTAGCAGCAAAGGTAAAAGCAAGGAGCGTGAGGCTCGAAGCATCGAAGGATCAGCTCAGCTCGTTCAAGGACCTCCCCCTGCGGGAGTTCCCATGCCCGGAGGTCCCCCAATGCCGGGTATTGCTATGATGCCCCGGCCTCTTGATCAGGTTCCCGAGAACATTTCAGCGAGTAGGAACAGTTTTAGAATGGCGATGGGTAATCCTTGTGAGTTCTTTGTAGATGTGATGTAAACAGTAGACAGATGTCATCCGCCTATCACAAGCTACTGGACTTACTGGTGAGCTTTACTAACAGACGGCTCTGAGGGCAGCTCCCGAAACAGCTTAGCGCCTGGCTGACGATGCGCGTTGTTGCCATATTCGCTCTGTTGACTTCACAAGTTGCAAACAGACTGACGTTTTTGTTTCTAGTGTATCAGTTGAACAGAGTTACACAGGTTATCGAGATTTACGCGCGGTGCCTATTGCTGACCAAGTTGATCGTCGCACTGGTGAATTTGCCAGAATTTTCGGAGCCAAGACGTTAATAATCATTGTTAGTTATAACTTGCATTTGTACATAGTGTGGAAATTGGTGCTTTCGAGAGGTTAGGTCTGTACAGAAATCCAGCTTGAGTTATTTTATTGGCAAAGAGAACTTCATTTTTATTGTAGTCTTTACAAGTCAATTTGACGCGCGATTTCATTTTGCGCCCAAAATTGTAATTTATAATTCTCAGTCTCCAGCACATACGGTATTGATCTCAGGCCAGTTTTATCCTCTGTGACAAATAAAGCTCGTTCTGTTTCGCCTGAAGAATATAATAGTTGGGTTGTCACTGTAGCACAACAGTACATGGATATCTGTTAACGATTTCTCGTGTTCCTTGCCTCGCACGTGTGATTTCAAGGTTAAATATTCTTGACAGGTCATCTAATTTTTATTTTTTTCGTAAACTAAGCGTGCTTTAGTTGCTTGAATAACAAGTGCGAGACAGATACTTACCATAGAATGTATAAATCAATTATTCTTGAATGAAGCAATTTTATTGAGCGCAGTTTTGCACTATCAAAAGAACAGTGGGATGTTATCTTACTCTTCTTGGGAGATAAATATCTTTTGCCAACAACCAAATAAAGAATACAGTATGATACGAGATGTGGACTCAATATTGTTGTTTCTTCAATTTGGGTGTCGTTGAAAGTATCCTCACCATAACATTTTCGACGCGTTCTTCAGGAGAGCTTGATAGCGGAATTTTTACCCGAGAAGAGAATTGACACTTGATTCGACCCTTTGTACACCACCCCTAAAATTTTTGTTCAGGAAGACTTAAAACACCTTTTTTTCGAAGGGGAAGGTGGGGCAATCAAAATATACTTTAGGAAACGGAAGCGGGGGGGAGGCAATCAAATTGTACTAGTGGGGAATTGGGGGGCGGAGGGTGGGGCAATTAAAATGTACTTTGGGGAGCACTTGGTTAAAGGCGAATCGAGGCTGAACACGAGTTCCCTTAATCCCTAAGTTTCAGAATGAGTCCAGATGCACGTTCTTGCCTAAAATGCCCTTTTCTATGGCCTCATCTTGAAAGTGAGGGTTTTAAGAACTCAGATGACCAAATAGTCATTTTCCAACAATGGCTTCACGCTTGCCTACGTTAACGAACAGCGGCCCTGAGAAATCTCAGAAACGATTCATTTCTCCCATTCGTTACCTGAAAATTATCACGGCAGAAAACCGTCAGAAAAGAAAATCCTAGGGATGCTTCGCTTTCAGACAATACAGGCACAGGAAGTTGAAAATAAGACTTGACAAAGACATCCTTTCATTTTTAATTTCCATTTTTAGATGAAATATCTTGAACTCTGAAGGATAGTCAATAGTTTACCATTCATGACCACCTCTTACCGATTGAGACTTTCAGTTGTAAAAAATTCAAAATCATAGACTGTTACGCCACTTGATGTGTAATGGGACTTTCTGACCGGTTCCGGCCCCATGTACAAAATGTCTTTTAGCTTAATTAGAAAATAACATCTTCAAATATTTTAGTTTCTCAAAAAATACTTTTTCAGATGGCAGCATTATGCCGATTATGATACCAACGAGAACAACCTAATTTTAAATCACTTTTTACTGACTCCAGCAAAAATTCAATCAACAGTTTGGTGGTGCCAACATTTTGGCCATGTAACTAAAGGAATACTCATAAAAATTATCTATTTGCACTCCACTGTTAATTCATTAGACAAATTAACGTCTTGATGTAATCAAGATGTATTTTCTATTACGGGGTTTCATATAGTAAAGACGAACTTTAAAACAAGTTCCGGCTTACAAAATATTCAACTAGGAGAGAGTGGGGGGAGGATTTTGGGTTTGCGGCTCCTTCATTTTAAACTACAACATCTTCAATGAACGAAGAACACAAAACAACTTTTAGCCAGCCTTGCAGCCTGCACTAACTCTGTTACTCAATTTTCTTTAAGACTTTCTGAACCAATCACCCTCGAGGGCTACTTCTAATAAAGAAAAGGGAGACGAGTTTACCCTGAGGAATTTGTGATCAAATGTGTGGGCTCAGCAGGGGGGGGGAGATCTATCATAAAGGCTAACATGATCCTATCAAAATATACCTGAAGATAATAATAATAGTAGTAACGATAATGATAATGATAATATCAATAATGATAGGAATAAAAGTAAGAATAGTAGTAATAGTTAAAAGCTCTGATTGTTGGCGATTCAAAAGTCTCTTACAAACCCTGACCGCGGGAAATACATCGTCTCTTTAAATAATCTCCTCATAATTTACACCTTGAATCCTAAGTGTTCATAATTTAGCAATAACTCGCGAAAAATTGTTTTCAGCTATTTTTAATACTATGTCGGCTCAATATTTATAAGCAGAGCGGTCAAGACTACAGAGCCTTGGTTCTCTAAATACCATTCCAGATTTTCTGTGCCAAGATTTTCATCGAGCAGCTCGTTTGCGTCAACATCGCGGTGACTCCGACCAGTTCTGTAATTACCAGGCTTCACGAGAACTTGTAAAGCTACTCGGACATGATAGACTTTTCCTGTTGTACTATCTCTGTATCTGTTACACGACGGAAAGAATAAAAATAAACAAACAATATTAACTCGTTATTGACAGTCACATCAAGGTAATTACAGGTAAAAATATTCCTAGGAGACGAGAAAAAGCAGCCGAAGATAGGCGCTGCATCGACTGGTCACGGAATTCACCAAGCGCCGCGACGCTCAGTAAAGTTAATGCAATATCCTATTAGGCGTGAGAAAAAAGCAAAAACAAATTACGTGCGGCATTGACTAGTAGAAAAACATTGTTGAAGAAAAAAGCGCCGCCACGCTATTTCAACCAAATGCGGTTTTTGGAAACATATTATTGAAGTAATTGGTAAAAGTTCAACTCTCCCATCAAAAACATCACGAACACCATATTTTCCACTAAGTTGTTACCCATTGTTAAGACTGCCATTATGCTTGGCAACGAATATCATCACTGATATCAGTTACTTACTCCTGTCTTTTAGCTTGGGCTTCGTACGCGCAAAGGATTGTGGGTGACACACAGAGCTGGGGGACTTCATTTTCTTTGTTTGATGAGCCCCTCCGCCGCTGACCACTACAGACTGACAAATATAAGACAAGTATCGGTAAAACCTACATTTGTCCAAACGATAAAATTATAGTTAGTTAGAAGAACAGTGCTGTTTACCTTGCAGTGGAATATCACCAAGATCAAGCATTCTTCTAAGTCGACCAATAGGAGTTCCGTAAAATGCCACGTGCCATTTGTCGAACACGTGATATTCCTCGACTCGTGGAGGAATTCTAAACGAGATAAAAAAATGTACATGATAATTTTCAGATCTTAGACCCACATCTAAGAGAGCAGGTCTGGAAGGAAAGTTACGAAATTGAAACGGATGGTTCGAATCGGCGCATGCTCACCTTAGCGCAAACTGACACCATCCCAAAGGTAGCGCATACCGACAAGGTGGGTCACCGCTGATAGCATAACGTTTTTCACCTCGAGCTTCGTGGCACGCCTGGCAATAGCAGACGTTGGATTTGCAGTCTGTATTAAAATATTCATCTGTGGATTGCAGTAAAATATACATGAAACGAGTTCAAGTACCATCATAGCGCCAACAATGAAATTTTCCACTGAACGAAAATCCTGCTTTGTTAAAACAAGAAACGAAACTGAAGTAATGCTGTACTTTTCAATGAAAAGGATACACATACTTGCATTGGTAACTCAATAATCGAGAACCCAAAAAAATAAGTTCAGTTAACCCATTTAAACCTCTGGAGCAACCAGCATCTGATTTTTCCGTACATTAAAATTTTTGAATCAGTCATTAAGATCATGAGAACAATAGAAATGGTCGCCAACCTAAAAAGCTTTGATTGCTAAATGAATTCTCCTTGTTTTTACAAAAGGAAATGTATAGTTAAGAGTATGGAGAATATAAATATTGATGCCAGGGTGTCAAGGGTTGACAACTAAATACGAGCCCAAATTTCTTATTTCCGTTTGCCTTACTCGACCCTTTGAGTAGTTTTGGAGTAATTCTCACCTGGTATTGCCAAACTAGCACGGAATCGATCGCAAAGTTGTCTGTAATCACACGGGCCTTTACTATGTTCACCTGGAAACGCATGGAACAGCAAGAAGGCAATCATTTTATTGTAAGGAAACAAAGACAACGGCAAAAAACAATCAATATTTTTTAATGAAGAGGCAGGCGTCCGCAGAAATAGTAAGACTGACAAAAAAATTACTTCCTTAATTACCCGAGCTTCTCTCAATCTTGGTTTCCTCCATAGAAACACGCCCGCGTTCACCATGATCAGCAGTTACGATAGACACTTCCTCGCAGCAACCATACAAGTCCAGCACTGCAAATCGTCTGGCGGGGATGGCCTGGGCAATCGGCCCCAGGTCCTCTCCGTTAATAAGCAGGTGCAACCTGCTTTTCTTGTCGATCAAAACTCCAAGGGTGTCTCCTTCCTGAAGGCTGTCAAGACTTCGACGTAGATTGTCGTTTACCTACGAAATGAAAATACAAACAACGTGAAAACTGCATTCATAAAGTAGGAAGATAGAGATCGAAGAAACTACGTCAGCGAGGGACAACATTTTAACTAACCCACCATAGCATGAATCCTTACCTTGTTCCCGTTAACATACACTGCGTTATTGACAACAATCCAAGGACAGATCTTGATGCTGTTAGCCGTGCTTGGAAGGCTAGTGAGGGAGTCTGGGTCCTGAGCCGTGACGCCGATCATAACAGAGCCAGTCCAGCGGCTATTCAACTTTCTGATACATACCTAAAGTTAGAGGAGGTAATATTAAGGGCTAAGTATAATCTAATCATGCATTCTTTACGTCGTGGAATGTGAAGCTTAAAGTTCAAGTGTGCCATTTGGGATCTGATTTAGTATCTTCCATTCCTTAACTGGCCTTGTTCCTGTATGGTGAATTCTTACTCTTTGAGAGTTTGTACTCTCTAACAATAGTAGCAAAGATGCAGTTATATAACGCACTCTCCTTAAATATGTGCACTGATGCGCTTTAAAACACTTTGTGGGAAACTTCAGCCAGACTGCATTAAATGGTTTTCGATTTTTTGAAAGCAAATTTTGCAGGTGCCCTTAACTTTGGAATATTTTGGAAACAAGGACAGACTTCACCACTGGGAGATACGTTCCCTGTTCGTTAATTAACGTTCCCTACTAACCAGTGGAGAGAAGATACAGGAGACGGGGCATACCAGGCTTGAGGTGCTTATCCGAGAAAGGGGGAACGTCTAATCATTTGCAGATTCATGGCAAAGGCTGCACATTCTCCACTGTTACATTAAGACCCTAGGGTGTTAGTTCGGTCTCATACCCCAGGCTGGGCTCGAACCCCACCCATCCCATCCCTCCCCTGCCTCGCCGTAAAGAAGCAAGGATTTAGTGTTGAGTGGGAAAAATAGAAATGGGCAGAAAAAGCAGGAAAAAGTTAAACCGGCGGAGAGTAGGTGGAAAATAATGAATAGAATCCCTTGATTTGTTGTTTGGTTAGCCAAGGCGAGGATAAAGATAGAAGATAAAGTGTTACACAGACCTGAAATAAGTGGTTATCTGGTAGAGGCGTTTCACTCAACACTACTCCATGATTGTAACTGTCAACTCTTCTCGCTGTTGTTCGGTTACTATCCAGTGAAATGAATTGACCGCAGTTTTTATGGAAAAGAAATCTGCCGGAAAAATAATAAACTGAATATTTAGTACAACACTCTTTGGTAGATTTATACAGTGGATAGCGTTGAAGGTGCGTTCTGATTGCCTACTCAAATTACGAATATCTTTTGCTATTAACCTCCGAGCATCTGCGCGCAGGATTTGCACCAGATTATGTTGTAATCTTTGGAGGAATAAAATAGTTAAAATCAAGTTTTTGTGCTATATTATTTAACTGTTTTAGTGTATACTAAGACAACTATCCACATTTGGAAAGAGTGTTTAGACCAACCTTTCCAGGGTACCCACGAGAAATCTACATTACGCGACAAGAGCAAGTTGGCGACAGCGACATGTTCACAGGGTAACCACTTACTTTTTAAATATTTTTATTGCCTCTCTTGTATCTTCTTCGACTTGATCTGATGTCTGGAAAACATACACGAAGCCAAAAAAAGATGAATGTGACAACCTTATCTTTACACTTTAACATCAGTATGCATATTCTACATACTGCTGAGAGGGAGAGTTTGTTTAACAATTAAAAGCTTTCATGGTTGGTGATCGTTTCCTTCATTCTCTTGAAACTACTGTGTGATTTGGGTGTGGTTTTGTAAGGAGAAATTAGATTCTAGTCACTCTTGGGGGTCAAAGGGTTAGGAAGAATGTGTCAGTTTTTAAGCCCCACACTACTACTCCCTAAACTGAGATTTCATTATACGGCTCCAGGCCCCTAATATTACCGGAACTTTCGCGTAACGGATCCCTGCATCAACAACAAGTTATTCCTGCCATGTGGTATAAAATCCCCTTCCCCACCTCCAACCCCTATTTATAACGGCTGTAGTCAAATTTACTGTCTTACCTCGATGTCAGGAGAAACGGACGATTGTGGTTCGCCATCCACCAGTTCACTAGCAGGCAAAGCTCTATCGACTGAAAGGAGAGAAATTTTGATAAATATCCGGGTATTCAAACAAACCTCAGTACCAAGAGAACTATAAACTTAAATCTGAATATAAATTAAAATATTGGTGGATGTAAAAGATTATCAGACTGATTCTCAATCTCGGACAACATACAGAACGGATCAATGGCTGTATCTGAGCAGCTGCGCACCTACCCCTCCCCTAATCCAACATTAACCCTAACCTCTTTCGATCACTTGAGTGTTGTTGGGTTAAGGAAGGAGCAGGTGTGCAGTTATTCGCATGCTGATATTAATCCAAATATACATACCGGTAGTCGGACTCGATATAGAGATAAGTTGCGCCATGCCATAGACATCAACTACCGCATGAACAATCTGAAAGAAAATCATTACATAGCTTATCACCTAAACAAATCGTGTTCGATCCTCAAGTTGCATGCTTTTACATTTATATCGTCCCTCTGTATGGCCAATAAAAAGCGACGTTAGTATCAAACGGGTGAGAACGTCTGATAATCACGTGCTGATCACATGCTGGTGACATACGAGTGGGTTTGTTTCTTTTTGGACAGACTGACATGCTAACAAACCAATCATAAAAGTACCAAGTGGTAATAAAACCATCGTCCTAAGCCAAGTCAGTGATGCTTCGTACATAAACTTACCTGAGGAACATCCACAGCTGCGACTCCCTGATCCTCCCCATTTACGAACACATGAAAAGTCCCATCTCTTCGCCTTTGCATTCCTATTCTTGTTTCAGCCTGTGGTGTAAGTTTTACATAAGCTTAAGAACGCTCTCAGCTTCGAAGTTACCATAAAAGTTATAGAAACGAGTTCCTCCAAGGAACTTAATACTCAGAGCTAAGAAGCAAGGCGCAAATAGGGAAATCATCAAGATTTTGGGACCTTCTTGTACGAGGGTTATACCTGAATAACACTTGCATTTTTTTTAGTTCTTACTTACGATAAATTGGAGGAAAGGCAGATAGTTTTGCTTCTTTATTAAATAAAACATCGAAAAAGATTCCATATTGTCGTGGGTCTGTTCAGTGATAGATCGCAGATGACGTCAAAATGTGGTAAGATCGTCATAGACATCAGGCTACCCCTTGTTTGCCACTTTTTTTGTTCCTACCACATGTGTGGCGTCATGTGTGATATTTTAATGAATAGACCCACTGCATCATGGAATCGAATTGTTCGCCTGATGATTTTCGAAAGGAAAAAAAAAAAAAAAAAGGGGCTACTTCGCGGTTCATCTGGCTCGTTCACCATAAGTGAGTGTCAGTTTGCAACAGTTCAGCTGAAACATACCTGTAGTCTGTCCAAACTGTGTCCATAATTCTCTTTTACAATCGCACTGTCTTTCATGACACAGGAGCCGGTCATCAGCCAAGTCCCATCTCGCAGGTCCAGTGCTGAGGCGGGAACAGTCATCAGCGGTATGGTTTTTGTTGTAATACCAACTGTTAAAGATCCTGACCAGTCATTGCCTGTAACTTTGTCGATGACAATCTGTGAAGTGAAAGATCAGTCAAAGCCCCTTTACATAGGCAACTTCCCGCACAGCTGGGTCTTCCAAAAGCGGTTCCCGGTGGTAAAATAGTCGGCTGTGCCCGGAAAGAGCTCTTACAAGTGTCGGTATACTGCTAGTAACTAACTTTTATTGAGACTCTGCGCTTATATACCCTCTGAGGACAGACACTGTTTACAAGTGGACAGCTATCATGGACAGGCATACATTTGTCACGAGTGAGTACCTCTTGCCAACATACATCAACAGTTGATATGCAGTCATTTCACACAACTCCATTATGCAGTTGGTTTTCTCGAGAGACAACTGCACGTACATATTTACCACGAGCTTGTGGGGGCGGGGAGCACAGGCCACTTAACGTAATCACAGGTACACCAAACATTATCACCGACTAACTAGCACACAACACATTACAACTGCTTTATGTCTGTTACCTCAAATATTTCATCTTCTTCCAAAGGTTTTGCACTGAACACCAGACCTTGATTAAATCCACTGCATCTATACGCAGTCATTTTATTGTTCACAAGTCGAATGTTTCTTCCACAACAGGAATGAAATCCGCATGTCACTTTACCTGGTCAAGATCAGGTCACACAACGAGTCAAAAGTAGATAAAGTAGTCTTTGGTTGATCTATCATAGAGTTCTCATTGAAGAAAAATAATTTTGAAATGGTTTTTGAAAGTAGACCAGGATTGCATTGGTATTGCGTTCCTTCGCTTTATGAAGCGTAGTGCGATTAACTGATGTAAAACGAAAACCAAAGTGGTTACAACAGCCAATCAGAAGAGGGGAAAATACTTTTGAGAGCCAATGAGAATTAAGAGTAAAAACAACCACTCTACCAAGAGCGCGGGAAAACGCGGGTGACCGAGTCGTGGTTGGCTTTAATTTTGCATCTTATTGGTTGAGAGAATGGCGCGAGTTTTCTGGACCAATCACAGCGAAGTAAGGCAAAACCAATGCAATCTAGGATAAATTTCGTAATGGTAACTAAACGCAGGCAGTTATCTTGCCGTTGGCCTCCAACACAATTTTTTTTTCAGTTTTCATTCATACACGAAACCTTCTTAACCAACAAATTGCAAACTAAAAGTAATTTCGAATTTGTCACTTGCACTATTCCACTCTTCAAACCGTTTGTTAGTTCTTAATTTGAGTTCTGGCCCCACATGACATTCTCCTCTGTTCCGATCGGCCATTGTGATTGCTGTTTTAGTCTTTTACCATGCTCAGTCAAAATGCACCAATGGAAATTTAACGTAGACATACTTGCTGGCCCTTCTGTAATTATAGGGCTGGCCTCTGTCTCTCTTTGTTCAGCAGGGACTGGAATCGTCTCTTGAGATTCAGTGTAATCTGCATCATATATAGAGATCTGGACGCACTGGCCATACAGGTCAATCATAGCATAGATTCCTGTCGGGAAACGCAGCAAAGTTAGTTTAGTTCGCTCCGGTTTGTTGAAACATATAGTAAATGTTTTCAGCCGAGGAGTAACAGTTGCAAATCTGTTGTGATCGCTCGGTAAACCATGGCAGTAGAAGATGCCAAGCGCCTTATTTGTAGTGCCATCTTTGAGCTGCCTCACTTGAAAATTCAGCCGCCAGCCATACTACTTAACTATAACCCTGTCTCTACTAGGTAGCTCGCTGTTACGAGACTCTTTTAACACCGCGTTCATTACCTGATGGAACACTAGAAGCAGCAACTCCACAGTCTTGCCCATTGACAAAGAAATGTAGTGATCCACTCGATTTACGCATTATGCCAAGACGGGACCCTTCCTCTAATTTGTCCAAGTCACAAGCATACCCATTCATGGATGTGCTACCATTCTGTAGCACAGACGATCCAGACACCATCCACGCCCCACTTACAAGGTCAGTCATGGTATGAGGGAACTTGAGCTGATCAGGAGAGACTGTAGTTACTCCTGTTCAAACAAAATAACCCAAAAAAAGTCAAACTGGGTAAAAAAAAAAGGCAATCACACTGCAGAAATTAACTCAAGTGGTTCATTTTTTTGTACTCGAAGAAAGCAGTATTTTTGGTAAAGCGCGTGGGCCACAAATCCGAGCGAAAAAAAAAACGAGGTTGGTAAGGACCAAGAAAACGAGTTTAGGAAGATATTTATTATATATCTGGGTTCAAATAAAGGGGGGAAATTTCAATTCAAACAAACTTTTGAATTTAGCAGGTCGTACAGTGAAATACAGCCCTCTAAATTGACCAATCATAGCGCCCGTACCAACTGAGAGATGTAATAAGTTGAGTTTGCTACGTCGGTGGGAGAGTATAACAAGGTAATTTGGTATTATCAACTGAGTTGATAACGTACATTGGTCCTTCGTCAGAGCAAATCATTCGCGAAGGGCTAAAGCTCGAGACGTCAGCTTTGAAACTCTTTGGTGGCCAATTTTATATTAACTCAGTTTATGATACCAAATTGCTTTGCTTTCTTCATTAGTTATAGTGATTCAAGGAGGAGTTTTTCTTTTACCATTACCAGGAACTAAAGATTGAGCAGAGTTAAGGGTATTCCTACTCGTTACGCTATTGCTGTGGAAACTTGTTACGTAAAGAAGACAATCAGAGAGTGTTTGACAATAGCAAGGCAAACGCCTGACACTGCCTTTTTCTCCATCACAAATTCAAGGTTTTGGTAGAATTAAATTTTAAAATCAAATTAGGAATCTTAATCAATGTGAACCACTCTAATCTCTAATTTTTTTGTTTGCCATGAGCTATGGGATTTGATACTTTCCCCTCCTCACTTTGAAAGCACTAGGTAAGAACTACAATATCTGAGGCTGTGTAGTGCAAATGTAATTTCTTCATGACATTTACATAGCCGAGAAAACTTCAAGTTTCCTTTTCCTCCGTGCTTTACACTTGTGCAATCTTGTGACACAAATGCCTAAAATGGAGGTTAAGCCTTGAAAAACCAAGAAACAATTTCACTGACAGAGAAAAGAGGAGGATGGTTTTTTCGTAAGATGTTAAACTTCTCCTTCCTTCTAAAAAATATATATTTCTGCTCATTCTAGTATTCTAGTAAAGGTAATAACGAGTAAATTTTTCAAAGACAACAAAATTGCATGAGCCCGTAGTATAATTTATACGAAAAAAGCAAGAAAAGACGAAATTTTGAAAGCGCGGGGGCGCTATTTGCAATTTGCACACGTGTTACAACTTTGCCATCGTGTTACATGAGAAGGCACTCGTTTTTAGCCAATCAGCAGCGCGTAATTTTTTCATGAACATTATTATGAACGTATACAAAACCTGCTTCCATCGAGCCAGACCATCGACTCACAAGCTTTTCCACAATAACTTCAAACAGCTCGTTGTCTCTCAAAGGCCTGTGGCTCATCACAATAGCATTGTTGAATTCACACAGCGGATTAATGCGAACTGCACTGCGACAGTTGTGACTGACAGCTACTTGTCCGCCATGAAAAGAACTGAATTTGAAAAAACCCTCATTCGATTCTGCCATGATTTCCTGCGATGGAGGTGACTCTACAGGTTGTTGTGGTTCTGGTGTAATAATAGTTATTTCTGAAACGTCTGCAACACAAATGTATGAGAAATAAATGAATCATTCGACAAAATTTCACAACAATAGTTCGAAAATTACAGCGGGCATGTTGCTCTTGTGATTCAAGCTTTTCAAGTCAATTCACTAAGCTTAGTCAAGTGCCGAAAATCAAGTTAGATTGGTCTAAGTGACTGAGGCAGCAAGCACCAAGGTAATTACATTTATATTAAATTTACTTATTTTATCCCGAACTTTCTAACATTACTTTTTGCAGTTTTATTTTCATTATTTAAAAATTGTGAAATGAAAGTTTGTTGAGAGCAAATTGTACGCAACATCGTTTTTCCTTACTTAATTTCATAAATTTTACATTCCTTTTTAGCGACTTTAAAAGCGTATGGATTTAGATTGTATTGTGCTATTTTATTCATTCATTTGAAATTTAATTGCACCCGTTATCTTAATTCTCTCAGTGTCTAATTAAGATTTACTTTCTATTGAGTCAATAAAACATCAGTTCTGTGAACATTTTGTAACTCGATTCACTGGAGCAATACATGTAGGCTGTGATAGCAAAAGAATTCTCTGGGTTCTTACCATTCAGTGAGTTTGTTAAATCAACCTCTCCATTTTCCTGAGTCCCAGATACAATAGTCACTTGAGCGCATTGACCAAACAAGTCGACCACTCCATAAACATCAGCTGGCACACCATGTGCTGCGCAACCAAGATCAGTGCTATTTACAAAGAAGTGTAATGAGCCATCTTCTTTACGTATCACTCCAACTGTATCACCAACCTGTTAGGGTCATAACAAAATGACTGAAAATGAAATCTTAGAAATAGAAGCGTTTTTCATCCTGTAATCACCTTTCACCTCAGTGAAAGCGAACGTTTAAACCCTTTCATTAACTGCTAAAAGTGATTAACATGCAACTTCTCCCTACAAATATCCATACATTATCCAGCAAACAGTTAATGAGAAAGCTCAAAGTTATCAAGTCGTTCTCTTGATCTAACACCTAATTCTTGTAGTGTATCTACAAGGAAATGTGTAGCAGCTAGAGGGGAGAATTAACAATCAGATCTTGGGAGTTAAAGGTTAAATTCCATTATGACATTTAGCAAAATAGTTCATGGCCTGATTTCATGACCTAAATATCTCCTAACATTCCACAAGTTTCAGTTTCAGCCATTTTCATTTAGAAAGTAAGAAAGTGAAATAACAGTTCAGTAGCACTTCCTTTAAAAAAAATAGAATACTGCCATTCCAAATGCTTAAAACTTTAACTCTCTTATGAGTGACCAAGACAAAATTTCTCCTTACAATATCAATACAATATCAAGCAGGCAAGGGATGGAATTAGAGGAAAATAACAATTTTATCCAATACCAAATTCTCCAAACTAGCATCATAAGAGTTGTATGGCAGACAGTAAGGAGAATTGCCTATGTGATCTTACAAGTGAAAGAGTTAAGTTATATGAGGAATTTCCTACAGCACGACATGACTTTATTTCTTTGACATGCTTTTACAGTAATGTTTACCTGAGACAAAGTTCTGCATTGTATCAAATTTTAAAAACTGAAAGTAGCGAAGCCCAATGTAGAATGGATGATTTCTTAGAATTAAAATCATGTTTTACCTACAAAGAGAGTCTTGTTTACATCATCTTCCAAAGGAGTCAGTTCAATGCCAAACTCAACTTTTCATTGCAGATCTTTTCTTTTCTTTTCACAATTCAACAACAGATTAAAACAGTAAAAAATGAAGACCAATGCATTTCTACCTTGATTTCATCCAGTGTTGGACCATAGTTTTCAATGACAGTAACACCATCACACACAATGCTCCCCCCTGACATCATCCAGGTACCAGGTGGCTGTACATTAGTCATTGTTGTAGGAAAATCTAATTTTTCAGGATCATGGGTGGTGACTCCAATCTCAAGAGACCCTGCCCACTTTGTCATTTGGATATCGACTCGCACCTCGAGGAGTTCATTGGGTTTCAAGTACCGACTTGTTAAAACAACAGCATTATTGAATTCTT